GGGGGCTGCTGGGGCAGCAGTGGCTGAGGCCTTGGCTTTTGACCCAAGGAGCAGACAGTAAACCCTGGGTTTATGGAAGTTCAGTACGTGGTGGGTCACTAATGTGAGAGGCCTTGTATCACATTCACAGAAGTAGGTTAGACAGCACAGCTGCCCTACAAAAACAGGATAGTGCACGTGCCTGCAGGCTGACCAGTAGGCACAGCTGATACATTAAGCCAAAAGGAGAACATGTGGTCATTAGTTAGTCGTACTTAAAGGGTGCTTTTCCAGCCTTGATAGAAGTACAAGCATGTATTCTATTCAAAAAGTGACATTTTTCAGTTTTCAGTTTTGTCCTGTCACAGTCCAGAAGTGAATATAGAAACCACCACTCAAGGAATGATCACCAAAAATAACTGACTTCCAAGAGGACAACAACCTTCACTGAAACCACAGTGATGTCATTTTTCTAAAGAAAATTGAATACACCAATGAATCATATTTATGTATTTAGTGCACCTTGTTAAATTTGATGGAAGATAGTTAAACCTTTTACTATAATTCACACATAAATCTTTTTATAGTTTTTAATGACATTACGTAACAAGAAAAAAGAGAAAAAAAAGAAAATCTCATCACATGCCTCTTAAATAAATGATATAGCACTACACTTTCCAGTCTATAATAATGACTAGAGACACTGTGTTTTCACATATAGTTTTCAGTTGCATGAGACAGTTGCCTAAATCTGCTAGAAGTCAGAGGCTGAAAGCTGAAAACTAAAGAGGAAAGAACAGCAGTCATGAAAACAAGAGGGATTTACTGAAACAGGCAGGCACACACACACACACAAACACCAAAAAAATCAATGGTGGCTTGGCCGGTGTTTGCTGAATTACAAGAAGATTGTGCCTCCCCCTCCCTCCCCCCTCCCTCCCTCTGTGTACAGCACAGGAGGCTGAGGTCTGGTGATTAGCTACTGTTTCCATGTGTGCCACAGCTACTTCTGAAAATGACCAGATGACAAAAGGCTAAATGTGGCTTTTTCCATCATGGAATGTGCAGTCTGTGGAGGAAACAGTGACGGCAAGTCCAGGATTTAGAAAGAAAAAAAAAAAAACACAGAGGGTTGGTTTGTATTTGAATCCCTCGTGGAGTCACCTGTGAACAGAGGCTTGGAGAATTTGGTTGCTTTTAGTTTGTGGTAATGTTTAGAAGTCATGTATTATTGCCTAAAGGCATTTAGCAGACACCTGATTGTCCAGGGATTTCTTACAGAGCAAGAAGCCATGAGGAAAAAGATGAAATGTCTTCAAGTTAACCAAGCAGTTCACTTGATTTTATCTCAACTTTTTAGAATGATTTGGGTTTGGACAGTGTGGCAGTATGAACACAACAGTATGACTGACAGGTCAATTTTTTCATTTCATTTCAATTTGTCATTCCCTTGCTATAACATCTAGCACAGGTTGCTAACCTGTAAATGAATCCAACACCACAGCAAAGGGTTTTGTTTAAAAAAGAAAATCAAGGTTAAACAAGTTTTTCATGCTTTACACTTAATTTTCTGCTTGCTTGCTAACAGCAGAACAACAGAGCCACTGCCATCTGTAACTGGAAATCAGGTGTGTCATTATTACTTGAGTGAATGTTGCATAATGGATTCTGACTGTTATTGTGTTGGAGTTGATCATAGCCCGTATGGACAAATATATATACCAAAATATAAACAACAACAAACAGTCAACACAGCATCACTGCCATTATATAAATGGTGAAATTGACATTTTGGCTTGTTCCATTTTTTTTCTTTCCCCCATTTCTCTCAGTATACCTGGTGTCAGTAAAACTCCTCACCCCAGTTTTCACACTCAAAAAGTATTTTGGTCACTTTTTCTTTCCTTCAGTGGGTCTGAAATTCCTTTACTGGAGTCTAAATAGAGGTATTTTGATCTTGTCACAATAATTTCATGCTGTGAAACCACACTTCTAATGGAATCTGGAAAAAGGGGGGGGGGGCTGCAGCATTTCTATTTTAACACACCTCACTGCGCTGCATTATGGCTGAATAAATAAGTCAAACTCCTAATATTATTTGAATTCTAAACTCATTCTGTGACTATTTCTGGCCGATTCTGTATCGGCTGCTGCCAGGTTGAATTTTTCTGGACACAACACTGAAAAATGTGGGAGAGAAAAAAGCACGAGGGGGAGGGAGGGAGGGAGAGGCAAAACTTCTGCTTGGATTTCTATGTTACGGACATCATGCACGCGCACGAACGCACATAGGTCCTGGCTTTAACGTATGTGGGCCGTGTCCGCTCATGGAGAGGCGTGTTCATGGGCGGCACCGCGGAGGCGCAGCCGAGCTGGGGATATAATGTGGATAAATGATGCTTTAGCAGCTTTGGTGCAAGAATCCGGCAAGAAAGAGGAGTAACTTTTCAAAGTTGCCTGCGAGGCGCTCACATCCCAGCTTTGATTTACTCATCGCGCTACCAGAGCTTTGCAACTTAAACTTTGCAGACGGACTTCTTTTTTTTTTTTTTTTTTTGGGTCTCTTTTAATATTTTCTTGCTGCAGGCGTGCAGTAGCAGCCAGATCTCTGTCAGGATCTAAAGGAGCGGGCTCAGTTCCAATTCATTAAAGGTAAATTATTTCCAAAGTCTACATTAAATCACACCACTCTATTTCTATTTCAACAGGCATTACCCTCCACAGTTTTCCATTAGACGTTGGCTGCTGGTACCAGCCTCTGTTAGCACTGCAGCTTGCATTCTAAAAAACTTCAGCTCAAATCATACATACATACATAAATACGTACGACTTTGCCCATAATAGAGTTTTTATCTTCTGAATCATTTTGGGCACTTTTCTCACAACCTCACCTCATACTTTGATATAAAAAATGCTGCATTTCTATTTAAAGGCTCCCCAGTCTGCACATGGTTCCAATTCAGGGAAAAAAGTGGTAAAATATTCAAGGATGTTCAACACTAGGAGCAATTTCTTTGATCTTTACTTAAAATAGTCATCTTCAGCCTGTCGGCTTAGCCTCAGTGAACTCCCAGAAGTGAAGTGCTCCAAGTGTCTGGAAGTTCAGCTCTGACCCAGGTTATTTAGAGAACCTGACACAGAAGAGACTGTTCCAAAGAGTTGTTCCAATATTTCTGCTTTCATCTCTCCGCTCAGGTCTCAGTAACCTCTATACAACTTTGGAATTCCCGAGAACTACTTCCATCACTGTCCTCCGATCTAAGAAGGATGAAGTACTTGTCCCTGCACTGGCTGATGAGCATGGTCCTGCTCCTGCTGCTCCACACGGCCACATCCATGGTGATGCTTCCGAACTCCACGGGCTGGCAGGAGATTCTGGACAAGTACCTGGACGAGGACGGGGGCTGGTGGGAGGCCAAGCAACGAGGGAAGAGGGCCATTACTGACAGTGACGCTCAACTCATCCTGGACCTTCACAACAAGCTCAGAGGTCAAGTCTACCCACCTGCGTCTAACATGGAGTACATGGTGAGTGGATGCAGTCCGTTGAAGAAAATACTGACTCAGCAATGATTCCCATGAAATTCCACATTTGTATACATTGGGATTTCCACACCTTAAAACATGTTGACCTCTTTGTGAACTCCCTAAGAGTTTTGCAAACTTGCAGCTGGTCAAGCTTAGTGAAATGAGGCTGTCCCCAGACCATTCCATCACCTGTCCCACTTGGCACCTTTACACAAAATCACATACCAACCTGAACCCATGTGACTTTGCTTCAATTGCCAGGAGAAGAATTCCACTAAATTACCAGTGATCATGTTACTACAAGTTTTTTTTAAATAACCCAAGCTAACAGATTTGTTTTACTTTATCCTTTGGGTACGGTGTGTGTGTGTGTGTACACAACGCCAGATCACTTTTCATTGTGCAATTAGAATCAGAGCAAGGCACCGGGGCTTGTTTTACCAGCTGTCTCACTGCCCCCCAAACACACCTACACTTACACACACACACACTCACACCACAGCCTCTAACAGTAACTCAGCCACAGTCCTGGAAGTGTTCCAAAAACACTACATGTGTAGGCTCAGCTTGACCGCTACACTGCATTTCCCTCCCACCGCACTTAGAGGTTAAATATCTCTAAGTGCGCGTTTGCGCAGAGTAATGACGTCTTATCATCCTTTCATCTCCACTCAAAGACGTGCAGGACAAAAGGCAGTATTCTCTGCTAAAGGCAAATAAACACTCAGTGCTGGGGGCAATTTCTTGAGTGTGCAATTGTATAATTGTGAGTTTGGACGTGAGGACTTGTGTGTTCTCGTGTGTGTGTTTAAATGGGCATATGGATGTGTGTGTGTAAAGCTCTGGCTGAGGCACAAATGCTGAGCCAGCAGTGTACAGCTCCTTTCTACTGTCTCCTGTTACAGTTGGCTGGTTTTTTTAGCTGCAGGGGCACCCAGGGGTGAAATATGGAGAGGTGGGCAAAAAAGAGGACGTGAGGTGAGAGGAAGAGGGTGAACGTTAGCAAGGGATACAGCAGTAATGACAATGGGGGACTGATAGGATGAGTGAGTAATGAAAAACAGATGGAGGGAGGAAGAATAACAAAACAGTTGTCAAAAAAAACTGAAAGAGTTTGAATAACAAAGTCAAGCCGGTGAAAGCAGGAAAATTATGTGGGAAAGTGCCAGTAAGAAAATATTAGAATGATATTTATAATTCTATCACATACTGTATATATATACTGTATATACATATCACTAAAGAAGCCAATTTTTTTCTTATTTTTTCATATTTTATTTTGAAAGGGTGGGTTTCTGGTTCTGGTTTGTGATATTCTGCTTCTGTTTCTGTCTCTGTTGATCTGCTGTCACCTCTCAGAAGCCTCACAGCTCCACTGTACTGGAAGACTCCAAAGACATGCTCCTCTGCACTTCCTACACACATTCATGCATACAGAGTCACACAGAACTCACACACCTACACTGTTCCAAGTTGGATCCTGTTGCACACATACACCACTGTTAGCCCCGTGAGCCCTGTCTTTGTCTGCAGTTGTATGAAAGCACACCTGAGTGACCCCCAGTGGCGGCCATGACATGAGATAACATAGTAAATCCCAGCTGGCCCTTCCTTCTCCATCCGTCTCTTTTCCTTGGCCTCTCTGCCTCTCTCTCTCTCTCTCGCTCTCTCTCTTGTCCCTGTGGCTCCGTTCCAATTCTGTCATTATCCAATGCAGAGGCCCAAAAATTCCCTCGGATCAGCATTCACACTCTGTAGTGATCCACTCTGCACTCTGAGGTGCAGCTTCAGTTGGGAGCCAGGGTTCAGCCTTTGACTCACATGTTGACCTACAGTTATCAACACAGACGTGAGAAACCTCCACACCTACATTTATGGACCTCGATTACCAGAAAGGATGAAACACTTTCTATTAATGTTTTACACACAGATGAGTTTTCGAGAGTGAGTGTTTGTTTTTGTAAGGTTGTGTGTGTGTTTAACTTGTGTGTTTTCATGATGCAGTGGTTTTGTTAGGTTATTAGACAGTGTTTACAGTGAGTAAAGGCAGGATTTAAGTTTGTTAAAATGGGTTTCACTTGGAAGACTGCCAAATGCAAACGAAGTTTCAGACTGCGGCGGTGAAAGATTAGGCAAAGCAACCCAAACATATTTTGTTCCGGCAGCTTTGCGTAGCTTCATTTGCAGTGCTCACAGGCCAGATGGAAGGTGGATTCTCTCCAGTGTGTCTTTGCTTTACCCTATAGTCTTAATGCTGCTGGTTTTAGTTAAAAACCTAGTAAATATCCAAAGGAACAGGTGCTGGATGCAAAAAAAAAAAAAAAATCTCTAGACAGAAAGAGCAGCATCTGAATGTCTCGGTATCTTTGCTCCTCAGACGTGCTCCGTGGTCATGCTCTGGTTAAAGGCTGACATTAACACAAATTACAAACATGCCACTTTAATGTCACCGGGCTGGATGGTCTTCAGACCTCACCAGTGCTGTCTGCATCATATAAATATATCAGGCAGGCCAGGCAACAAGTTATATGTCAGTGAGTGAGCTGCTTAATGTAATGCCCAGAATGTAAACATTGCTCCGGTGCCAAATGTAACAGCGCCCCTGCTAAATATGTCAGGCAGCATGGTCATAAAACTTAGCAGAGATGCACGCCTACACATGGAGATCAAATTAGCAAATTTTGATAATGTCACAGATAACCTCAAAACCTGTTGGTTATCGTTGGTCCATGCAGTCACGGTAGAAAAACACCCGGTGGTTCCTCTTTTGGGAAATGGTTTAATTCAGGATCTTACAGTTCAGCATCCTGTCCAGATGTTTTTTTTCTGGTTTAGTAACTTCAAAACCTTCATTCCTGACTCACTAATGTTCTCTGACCTATGGAAAACGGATTCTGTAGAAACATGTGTCAACAAGGCTGGGAAAAAGACCTTCACCTGAGCTTTACATTGATCATATGATTTTTAAAAGTATACTTTCTATTTGCATCCTTCATTTCTGAACCTAAATTCAACCTAATTTTTCTCCCTTTACCTCCCCCTTCTTCCAGTTTTCACAACTTTTCTTTAATTTTCATTCTGTCTCTGGATGCACCATTGGTTACAAACAGGAAGTTCGGTTGTGCGAAGGAAGTACCCTTCTGAATCCTTTGGAATGCAACCAGATGACAGAGAAAAAAATTGGCCACAAATGAAGTGTTAAGTGAAATAAACAATGCAGTGTGCACAGTGCTGAAAGAGTGCAGCGAGGGAGGTGTTTTTCTTTATGGGCCCCAGTGAAGGTGCGGTTGGGGTGGGTGGTGGTTGGGTGTCTTGGGTGCAAGGCGTCCTCTGCCGGGCTCACTGTACAAACAAAACCAGTTGGACGAGCTGGCTGCACGCTAAATTTAACAGCTCAGACGTGTGCAGAGTGAGGGACACGTCCCAAGCCTGCTTTTCTCTACTAGGAAACAGAATGGTCTTCTATTAGAACCTAAACATTCCTCAACATTTTCTTTTCAGAGTGGTGACCAATCGATAATAATCTCAAACCTCTTGCTGACCTTGTCAGAGTACAGAACGTCCCATGAGCTGTGGTGTGCACATTATTTAGCAGTTACCACAGGTTTTCAGTGGAGCTAAAGTGACGCAAGAAAAAAAGATTTAAGGCAATAAAAAAAGGGTCTAGCAATAAAAATCCAATTATCTCTGAACAGGTTTAAATCTCTGACGTATTTCTGTTGCAACATCATCGGATACGATGGTGAGGGTTCCTAAGCAGAACTGAGGATTTCAACTGTTACACACAGACTCTCATTTAGAACCATCCGTAGAGGTCACGTCTGAGAGAGATAGAGTTTCAGGCAAACAAATCCTCATTCCTCTTTTAACCTTGACCCTGTCACTCACTAGTTAACATCAGTTTACACTTACTTTACACTGAGAAAGTCAACACTTTCAGAGGTAAGAGTTAACTTTCAGCACAGCCAGATGCCCCGTTGTTAGGTAGCTGTGTGTGTAGTTTGGGAATAATGCAGAGAACAGCAGTTGTTGCTGGTGGGAACAAGAGTGGGAGATGGATGCCAAAGGAGGAGAGGGAGGGGGCGTGGAGGGAGGAGGGAGAGTTCGAGGTACAGATAGTTTTTTTTTTGGTTATCTTTTTACTATCATTGGGATTTCAGACAGGGTAAGGCATGACTTCCAGGGCCATAGGTGTGAACTGTGCTGAATCCATACACCTGTGCTGTTTTTATCCATGCATATGTTCACACATTTCTACAAGCAGATGTAAACTCATTAGCTCCATAACAGAGCTGCCACATTCGAACTCCACCCTTAAAAGGAGGAAGTGGAGGTGTGCAATTAAAGGAACACACCGTGTCCTTCAGAGAAGCTACGGCTGGTGTTATTTCAACTTTTTTGATGCGAGAATGTAGGTCAGTGGAGAGGAAGGACAGTCCTTGCATTCCCCAAAAACCCAAAAATGGGAATACGATCCCTGAGAATGCAACCAGAGCCAAACTTGACTTTAGAGCGCAAATTAAGAAAGAGGTGAAACAAAAGCCCATGCCCAGGCATCTCACTGGAGACATATGGAAGGTATTACAAGAGTAAAAACAGCTTGAGCATTTTTTTGAATAACACCCAAGCTTACGGGAAAACCCATCCGGAGCTGCATGGAAGTCTGGAAGCCCTTTTAAAAGCAAAACTTCATTATTATTTTTGTCTTTTTTAAATTAATTTCCCAGCACAGACAAAGTAGCAGCATTTTATGCTGAAAAATAATACATCTATAAGTATTTTTTCACCCACATGGTTCCCCCCATTTATTTTCTTTTTTCTTTTTGCAGGTGTGGGACACCGAGTTGGAGCGAACAGCTGAGGAGTGGGCCGAGACCTGCTTGTGGGAACATGGTCCCTCTGGGTTACTGCCACAGATTGGACAGAACCTGGGAGCCCACTGGGGAAGGTGAACACACACCTTACACTTTACACTTTCTTTACACGCATATTTAAACCCACATTTAATCAAAGGTTGGAAGTAGAAACCGTAGAATGTCTTTAAATGTTCGGAAGAAGAGAAAATCAGCTGTGTTTGCGGCTTATACAGCTGGCTCCAGCTCTGCACACATAGGCATCTCTGTCACGAGCCTGTGATACACAATAGAAAAAACATGAATAAAAAGAACCGATTTAACAGTTGGTTTATGAAAGTCACAACACCAATTTTATTCTGGCCTCAGTGACTGCACAACAAAAAAAAACATAAAATAATTCTTTGATATCTGCAATAAACCCATGGAAATAAAATAAGAATTGAATCCACTGGATCATTTGAAACATTTTCTACAATAATTTAAATTAAATTAAAAAAAAAATTAAGTTGAAAAAAGGCAGTTGCCAATAGGATAAAAGAAAGGCATTAAGGGCATTGAGGACTCTATACCTCAGTAGAGCTCCATTATTTTTGGAGCTGTACACCTCTATGAACACACACAAAAAATATCTTTCATTCTTTCCTAATTTTAAATAATGTTAAAATTGATTCCAGTTATTAAAAAGGGTTTTGTATAATAACCCCTATTTAATGCTTGATCTTCTTTGAAGCTTGGCTAAGCCTCCATTTAGCTCCATTTAGCTTCCTTTCCATTTAGTTTCGTTCTTAATACTAGCACGTTCTTGTTTACTAAATGTTTACATTGTAACACATGCAACGTAAGGTATGTTGTCAAGTGTGAGTGAAGGTTTCTTATGACTCAAGCTAAATAAATGCAAAACAAACTCTCAGGCCAAACAAACAAACAAACAAACAAACACAACACAAACTCCCCACCGAGCACTTGAAAGCATGGCTGCTACACAAGAGACACTCTTGTTCCAATTCTAATCATATAAGCTCACAGTCAAGACGTTCACTTGACTCTAATCAGATTAACTGGCAACACCTGGGGGGCAAATCTGGGTCAGCGCTTTGTTGAAGTATTTTTAAAGCAAAAGAGCTGGACTGAAGGCTAGAAAACTGCTTTTAATATTTTGGTTGAATCTGCTTTGAATTCTGGCATCAAAATGTTGATGTTGAAAAATCCTTGGTTACTTTAACTAGAAATAATCCATCAGTTTAAACTCCCACAATAAAGAGACACTGTTAAAATGGTGTTGGTAATCAATCAACACGTCTCCTCAGATATCGTCCACCCACATTCCACGTGCAGGCCTGGTACAACGAGGTAAAGGACTTCTCTTACCCTTACCCCCAGGAGTGTGACCCCTACTGCCCCTTCAGATGCTCTGGCCCAGTTTGCACTCATTACACACAGGTACGTTGTGTACATCCATATGTACCATTTTCCTCAGGGATATGAAACCATGTGGTCACGCTGGTGTCTGTTTTGCAGTTGGTCTGGGCTACCAGCAGTCGGATCGGCTGTGCTGTCAACATGTGCTACGACATGAATGTGTGGGGACAGATCTGGGCCAAAGCTGTCTATCTTGTCTGCAACTACTCACCAAAGTGAGCAGATTTGTTTGGCTGTGTTTCAGAGAAACACAAGCTTCCAGGAAGTCCTTCTGGATTTGAGGGAGAACATTGTCTGGTTGACGATGGAGCTAAAACTATTTTATTCTTTTTTTTTTAACTAAACAGGGGGAACTGGTGGGGCTATTCTCCTTACAAACATGGTACCCCGTGTTCTGCCTGCCCCCCCAGCTATGGTGGTGGCTGTAGGGACAATCTCTGCTACAAAGGTACGAAAGAGAAATATCAAAGAAATAGAAAGCTGGTAAAAAAAAAAATGGAAATGCATATATTCTTTGTGACTTTACTCCAAGATGACAGCTCCTATCCTCTGCAAGAGGAAACTGAAGAAAACAACTTCATTGAGCAGGAGGCCCCCCTCTCACCGCAGAAGCCATGGTCCAGGGCCTCCAGACCTGAGGCTCCCAGTCTTCCTGCCCCAGCTCCCACCCAGCCCCCCACAGAGAACCTGCAGAAGAATGATGTGGTCAACACACAGCAGATGTGTAAGCTGCCATTTTACTGTTTATTCTGTATCCAGTTACATCTCATGATGGGGGGTGGGGGTGCATGTAGGGTCTGGTTTTAGAAACTGGTGGTGCAGAGAGTGAAAAGAATTATGGGACAATATATTTGTAATATTTAAAGTTTTTAAAGCAGTTTTCATTTAAAATAAGGTCAAAAACATGGGATCTCATAGTTGCTGTCTGTTTGGCATTCAACAAACAAAACCAGACGAGCGGAGGAAAAACAACAAGGCTTGACCTTCAACGTTCTGCAGCAGTTTGCACCAAAAAGCCTTGATTTCTGTTCTTTTTATCTGTCCTCTCCCTGATTGACCTTGACAGCTTCTAAAGTGTTCCTTAATATTGCAAGTCACTGGTTGTGAGGGGGTGGCGGGGGGGGGGTCTATTTTAGCAAGACTCCCCGAGTGTGTGTTTGCTTTTGGCTGGCTGAGAGGGGGCCGAGGAGTGAGAGGGGCTCTCTGTGGTTTTTAAATGGCTTCCTCTCTGCAGTGCAAGGGGTCCGTGATGGTAAGCTGAGACACTTCCTCTAGTGTTGCTGACCACCCTGAACCTATTCTGCTCTGTGATTTTCTGAAGCATCACAAGAACATTCTCCATTGACTTTCAATCAACTGGGTTGTTCAGCTGCCGACCTCTGAAATACATGTTGTTCTTTTTGGATCAAGCTCTCGAAGGATTTTGTGTTTGTGCGTTTCAGCTCAGCTTGTAACCTGTGACACTAAACTCCGGGATCAGTGCAAAGGAACGCCCTGCAATAGGTAGAGAACAAAACAAAACAACAACAGAAACACTTCAACATTGTGTATTCATCACCGTCCCTAGCATCAGTGTGATTTTTCCACAGATATGAGTGTCCTGCAGGGTGTCTGGATGCCATAGGAAAGGTAGTGGGAACTGTCTACTATGAAATGGTGAGTCCACCTCAGGTCAGAATCGTCTGATCATTCTACTAGTTTGTTGCCAGAAGTCCAGAGATTTCATGAACTGTGTTGTGTTGCAGCAATCCAGTGTGTGCAGAGCGGGTCTACATGCTGGTGTCATCGACAATGATGGAGGATGGATGGATGTAACCAGACAAGGAAGAAAAGATTATTTTATCAAATCTCATAAAAATGGAGTTCAGTCTTTAGGGTAAGTCTACAGGACGGACCAAAGTATGTCAGTTTGATATGAAATACAAAACAAAAAAAATACAATATATCAACTGCTATATGAGCAAAACTGCAATACAGCTACTTTCATATTTGTTTAAACCTTCAATAATCAGGCAAAAAAAATGGGTTACCAACGGTCATTGGTCACTGGCTCTCAAACCTTTTTTGCACCACACCCTTTGTACTGTAGGTGGACTATTGTACCCCCTCACTTTTGCCCCCCACTGTCAAAACTCCATTGAACATTACTGAACAACGTAATTCGTACAAAACGTTTCTCATGGTATAAAAGAAATACAATTACATCAAAATAAATAAAATATTTAAATAATAATTCATTTGACTTGCTTCACCCTCATAATAGCTCCAGGCCCCCCTGGGAAGAGAGTCTGCCTCTCACCTTGGGAAACATTGACCTTAGCCATTGAGGCTGATGCACCAACACACTGTCACAGAAGCTGTTTTTTTTCTCCTTTTTTGTTTGTAGTATAAATTTGTTATTGCCTTTTTTCTTGTACCTAAGAAGAATCATTTTTCTATGACTCCTCTGCCCAAGTTTTCATTTGTTTTCAGTCCACCTCAGAATAGCTCCAATTCCCTTTTGCTCAATACCACTTTAAGACCATTTTTGCAGCAGCAGCAGACTTGTAAAGTCTCATCATGTAAAGAAATTAGGTTTTGGTCGTGGTTGTCATTACCTCAGAGTGGTTCAAGTAATGACTTCACTACTTCAGCTTACATCGTTAGACATTTCATCTGGCTTTTCTCAATAAATTGACAAACCACGTGAAATGCAGCTTAGCATAGGTGCTAATATGCAGCTGCTTTGTTAGCTCAATTAACCTAATTTTAAATTTGTCAATGAAAACCATAAAAAATATTTTTATAGTTTATCAGTTTGCCAGAATAAAACTAATGCCATTGCTTTGTGATTTGTTTTGACAGAAAATATCAGAGTGCTAACTCTTTCACAGTGTCCAGAGTCACAGGTCAGTCCGACCACATCTCACACCTGGGTTTGAAGTTTTGCAATTCATCACGAAATATACGTATATTGTTCTACATGTGTATTTTTTCCTTTCTTCAGTCAAAGCCATCACATGTGACACCACAGCCGCACAGCTGTGTCCTTTCCAAAAGCCTGCCAAACACTGTCCGAGGTAACGATGCTGTTCTGTTCCTGCCTGTTCACACTGTCATGTGAATTTATCCTGTAACTCACGACCGACTTTTTGTTTTTGTTATTGTAGATTATACTGTCCAAGAAACTGTTTGGAGGAAAACTCACACACATCCAGAGTAATTGGAACGAGGATTTTCTCTGATGTGAGTCCAACGTTTTGAGGCTGAATTAGCCAAAAACATGTTGTTGTTTTTTTAGGTTTGTTTTGTTTTCCTTAATATTAAAACAGTTGTTTTCTCTGTTTTCTCCCTGCATTGTAGCGGTCCAGTATTTGTCTTGCAGCTGTCCACACTGGAGTCATCAGGAATGATGCAGGCGGTTACATTGATGTGATGCCAGTGGATAAACGAAGATACTACATCGCCTCGTACCAAAATGGCATTTCATCAGAGAGGTATGTGAACGCAGTAAGAATGTGAAAGGGCACGAGATGGAAGAAGTGGTTCACGTTTTTGCTTTACAGCCAGATGATCAAAACAAAAACATTTGTAGGTATAGTAGTTTGCATGTTTTTCCAGCTGCTGTGACTTTCTCCCTTGGCCTAAACACATGCAAATTGAAGAAATAATATAAAGAAATTTTTAAAAAATCCTCAAGGGCAAAATTGAATTATTATTGACTTATCTAGTTGCAGGTTAGATATGGGGGATTCAAGGCAAGTAGTGGCCCACGGGCCAGTAGTTTGCCATCAACTCGCCACTGCAATTTACCATCTGATGATATACTGTACGATGAATGTACTTAACCTAATATTTATTCACTGCCCATGTTAAATAACCAGGCTATACTAGAATGATATAAATGTCTCAACTCTGCAATAAATACTGTAGAATTAGCACTCTTTCATTTCTCTGATCTCTAGTAGAGTGAATGGGTTAATTTGCTGAGCTCAGAGAGTGGGAATGGGAAATCAATAGCTCTCAGGTAGAGGGGAAATTTATCCACTCTGCCCTCCCGTGAGTCCAGGCTTTTCTGGGTGCAGGCAGTTCATTATGTCTCTTATGTGGTGCACATGGGCTGTTGACATGCTTCTGCTTTATAATAATGAATTGACTGGCTTAGGATGAGAGCATTTCCATGTTGAAGCATGTTTTTTTTAACTCCACATTGGCCTTAAATTGAGGAAGGTGTAATTTGAGATTCCGAGTTATCAAAAAGGGATCGAAATCCTATTAGATTTTGGCTTGGCCACATCGATGCAGTGGCTGAATTTAAACAAGATGATAATACAGGGAGGTAATGGATCTTATGTCACACAAATTCTTAGCTCCTTTATAAAAGAGAGGCGTTTTAACTCAGCTGTTGAAATGTTTGGTCACAAAGATACATGTGGATTTAGACTGTTTTTGTCTCCAGTTTAAGTGCTTAGCATTTCTCAGAGCAATGCTCTCTGGTCTCCACAGGATTTATGTTATGGTATGGGCATCGTAGGAAGCAGGCAGGACCCAAATGAGATCCCAGGAAGACTTTCTTCAGGTGTAGCAGGTTTATTAACAATGTGCAAATTAATAAAATAGGACAAGGCATAAACTACCAAGCATGGACGACAGCAAAACATGACCAACACACACACAACCACAGAACACAACAGCACAATGATCCAACCAGGACAGAGTGAGGGAGAGCAGTATATATACAAAGGGAACCAGGTGATACGAGTGAGACTAATGACGAACACAACAGCTGAGTGTGATGACACTGATTGCACCACAGAGCAGACAGCTGGACCAGGGAACAGACAGACCTCACAATTTAGAATAGAATAGAATAACTTTTGCCATTTGCCACCAGTTAAAGAACATTTCACATCAATTTGTTGTTGTTTTTTCTTTGCATTCAGTTGGAGTCATTTGTACAGACATGAGAAAATATTAAAAATGTTAGCTTTCTAAGAGAAAATGATCAAATTGGTTATTACACAATAAGACACAAGTACAAAAAGTAAACATTGAGACAGAAATATAAAGAACATGCTGTATAAACCTTTAGTGTCAAGTGTCAATAAATAAGAAACAATGTCAACCTCAGGGTAAAAGTAAACTTTGAACATCGAGGTAACTGTAAATACTTAACAGAAATGTAAACCTCGGGCTAGAATGCGAAGATAAAGCAATAAGAAGTAGACATTAAGTTTCAGTAGAGAGACTTGATGTTCTCTGAGAGAAAATAAAGTAAATAAATATTACAGTCTTGTTAGGAAGGTATTTTAGTGAAGTCAGTGTATCACTGGGGCTGGTTAAAAAACTGTTGAAGGGTCAGGTTTTCACTGTGACAATTTGAGATTTTAGTTTCTTCTTTTGGTTCATGTTGCAGTATATACATACATATTTATCCATCCATCCTTTCATCCATCCATATTATTGACTGACCTGCCTGCAGTCCAGATTTCATCCTTTCCTTGTTTTAGTTTTGATTCCATTTCTGGACTGTGTACTAGCTTAGTTGGAAATGAGGTTTGTAGATCACATTGCACCACTGTATGGAGAGCAGCAGCATTAAGATTACAAATCTGCACCAAGATCCGTGACCCACATGTGGTTTCAGTCCTGAAATTATTCTAAGGTGACCTGCCTAAAGGACACACACGTACAGAGACTTAGTTTTTCCTCTCTCTCTCTCTCTCTCTCTCTCTCTCCCTCCCACCCTCCCCCCCTCCTCTGCTGTCTCTCCACCACATTTATCTTTGTCACTCCGCTGAGATGCCTGACATCTGTTATTATCTGCCCATCATTTATCAGTCTTCTTGAAAGCCACAACATGCCTGTCTTTGTTGGATTAACACACAGAGCACCCCCAGTGTTTGTGTTTAAAAAAAAAGAAAATGGAGGCTCATTCGCTTTCTCAGGAAGCTGCGGCATCAGCCTGTCTGTCTGTCTCATCAGTCATCACATTGTCAGGCAACACAGCAGTGTGGATGTAGAAACCTGAAGTCTATATGTTTGTGCCAGTCTGTCATCTGCAAATAAAGACCTCGGACACGTTCTGTTACTGACACATGCTGCACCTAGGCTGACTCTGCCTCTTGTTTTCTCACTCTCTCTTCCCCGCAGCCTTCAAAACCCCCCTGGAGGAAAGGCGTTCCGGGTGTTCGCCGTGATTTGAGTGCCCCCGGGGGTCGGCTTCATCAAACAGAGAGTGCACTTGTGCTGTTGAATAGGCGGTAATCAAGCCCTGTTGTTAAACTCAATGAGTGAAATGTTTCTGGCTTTGCTTCACTCCTGGGGTCAGAGGTCGTCTCCATGACAGTGTAATCCTAGCAACACAAAAACTTGACAGATACACAAGAAGATCCTGTCTCCTGGCTCTTGAATGGAGTTCTGATCCTGTCATTCAGAGCAGGGCATTTTTGTAAATACACTATGTGGTTCAGTGTTGTACATACCTGTTAATGCCCTCACATACTCTGCCTGTGTGCAGTTTAAAGTAGCTCTGTATAAATACTGAATATAAATGAGATATAACATTATTATGGCACTTATAGATGAGTATCATTTTTATTGTCTGGCACATTTTCACTGGTGCTCTGGAGAGGCGTCCCGTCATATTTTGTACTTTTAAATGGTGGAAGAACAGATTATTAGACATCTATTTTTATATGAACATATATTGTATGCTTTACGTCAGTTTATAAGAAGATGCTGCTACATATACGTTGATTTTTGTATTTTCATGTTATGGTCGTGGTTTCTCAAAAACTCCCTGCAGGTCGGGTAGCACGCTCCACTCAGAGTTTTCCCTCTTTAATAAATCACATGCACCTGATGTCGACACAGTTTATTTGAGTGGATGTAAAAGTTGATTCCAGGTCTTAACTCCCTGTTATCTCTACTACAGAGCATGTTTATTTGTTTATATATGTGCTTGTACTTTTATTTTTTATTTTATTTTTACCCACTGTCAGCTTTGTTTCATCATGCAATTTTTATTACAGGCAAATAATTGAATTGTTGTTGTTGTTTTTCCTGTTTCTTTGTGCATTTTATTTTTCTTTCCTACCTCAGGTTGTTAGGAAAAGTGCATTTGGCAATAAAATATTACAGTCTCCACAACTCTCTCACATTTGCTGCGGGCATTTAAAATGTCCTTATTCACTATTACTCAGTGGGCCAGACATTTTGCATTAAACATTTATCAACTAAATATATGCTCATTACTTTTTATCATGGCAATCAATAGTCGCTGCCTTTGGACGTGGATTGTCCAGGTACAAAGAATGGTTTCTGTTTTTAGCTTCATGCTACAAAACTGTAATTACATGAAATGTTAAGTATATTTTAGAATGTGATGAATGTCTCCTTCAGAATGATGTTAGTCTTGGAATCCCTGCTCTCCGCTGTGGTGACTGTGGGGCGGTGGCATATTTTTTTTTTCTCCTATTCTTGAAGATATTTTGTGTAAGTATGATGAACATAACTCAAATGCATGTTTACTTGAACACATTTATCCCAGCCACACCAAACCACATTGCCTCCGAGTCATTTCTAAGCATAGCTGTAGCTGAGTTTTGTGTGAAACTTGAGCTCTCAAATTTGAGGACATAAATAATATTCTGTAGACCTGGAATCTGACAGGAAATCCCATAATTGTTTGCAAATTTAAAAAAAGGCCATGACATGACTTGTCCTAAAGTGGCTGGAAACGTACAGTCTGGGACTACAGTCAGGACTCCTGGAAGATTTAAAACCATTAAATACTGTTGTTGCATCAAACATAGTTGATCAAAGAACTTTCAGGGAGCTTTCTGGTTTTTAAAAAAGACAGAAGTCACGATCCACAGACTGAGGTCTATCACTTCCTGAGAGGAGCACTTCACAACCGATACTTAACTCTTTCAGGATGTGACACCTCTAACCCCTTCTACAACATCCAGACCCGTTAGTCATCTGAACCCGCTTGTGTGGAAAACATTTGATTTGAAACGACCCAGCTTTTCCTCCTAAGGTCTGTCACCAGGGAGCAGGGTTGTCACTCCTCATTTGCCTCCGTGCAGCAGTGGAGTGAAATGACCAATCCATAATGGCCGACTGTGTTGTGATGTCTGGTCGGCCACAATAGGTTGTGACTCGAGCTTCAAAGATGAATGCCACTGAATCTTAATGTGGTGCGTCTGTAGGAGTGGCCGATACAGATTTACTTGGATCGGAAAATGTCAGTGAACAAGTCATATCACATGCAGAGTTTGGTCATAAACTATAAAAAAGTGTAGACGTGTTGGTCGTGTGGATGTAGGCCACTGGCTTGTTCTATTGTGACCACAGTGTTGCCCCAAATCACAGCCTGCATCAAAAACAGCGTGTTCAAACACATGTTCATACTCTAGCTGTCATGCACACTTTCATTTTCCCCCCTGACACATCACATTCAGACTGAGGCCGCTCACTTGTGATTGGCTGAGTTGCGCGGAGGGAGGAGAAGAGACCGCAGGATGATTGATGGGCTGCCAGTGTGTGCCCAGATTCAGTGAGAGAATAGAGAGGCACACATCAGACAGGTGTCAAAATTCGCAGCAGGGTGTGCTGATAGGTGCCGTTCTGAGCCTCTAAAGACTGAAGGAGAAAAAGCAGAGGCAGAAAAGGCCAGGATGATAAACTGAGGGTTTTAAAAAAAAGCTAAGTTGTTATTTTCTCACACTTATAATTGGTTTCATGAACTCAATGCAAATGCAGTAGTGGCAGATTAAGTCAGTTTAGGTTGAAGTGTAACCCGGCAGACAGACGTGGATGCATGAGGAGTCAGGTTTCGGCATGACAGCCACCAGCCTATTAGGACTAAGCAGACTGAGCGCCGTGAAGACGGATGGAATGAAAGACAAGCTTGCAGCTAGCAGGGTCTGCATGGTGCCACTGGTGTTTTCACACTGTCGTTTAAAATAAGGGAGGCCATTAATAACCTCCTCACTGCGCGCTGGTCTGCTGCAGTCTGCTGCTCCTCGCAGAGCTAAATGTGGCGCTGCATGGCAGCAGACTGGCAGACTGTGTCAAAGAGACCACACTGCACACACCTGGGCAAAGGGTGAGACAGAGGAGAGGCAGACAGAGTCCGTGTGTGCGCTCCAGCACTTGTCTGTGCCGTCTCTGTCTGTGTGCATGTGAGTTGTATATTTTGGTTTAATTGTATATTTTTCACTTACCCACCTGTTTGTTTATGTGCCATGTCGGTGCCGCCTGTCCTACCACAGCTGGATGAGAGTCAGATAGCAGTGATGCAGTCAGGGAAGCCGTCAGCACCGAGGTGAAAAGTTATGGTTGCCAGAGGTAATGACTGTGTTCCTTCTCGTCAAACCCTTTACTTTGGCAGATGAACAAAACATTAAATTTGACAGAGAGGGGGCTCCCCCCACCCCCCATGTGATCCAAAAATATTACGCGTTCATCGCCACACTGTGAATGTGTTTTCGTTAAGATGGAGTGGGCACTTCAGCCAGGAGAGAGAGCGAGCGAGAGAAAAGAGTTTTTCCTCAGTGGTAAGGTGACTCATATAATTATTGAGTTATTTTAGGCCTTCTCACTATAAAAACAAACCTCTGACAAGTGTTATAGATTTAATTTATAATAACTATTCATTTACTACCGGCTTTATACTACGACTAACCCAGCAAAATACTTGAGGGAAATCGAAAATCTTAAATTGCTTTGCCAGTCCACTTGTTTAGTGATTCCCACTACACTGACAGTTATGCAGAGCGATACTTCAAAGGTGTCAATCACGAGCCAGTCAGGTGATATTCCTTCATTACGCCTTTCCAGTATTTCTGTCCAAATCTCCAGGCAAAGAACCAGGAGACTGAGTTCCCTCATTGGTCGACTTCACCGAGGTGTGAACAGTGTGACCTAATACTGTCAAACCAATATAATACCCCCATGTAAATGGCTGCAGTGTGCAGGTAAAAGCTGTGATATGAGAACATGTCGCAAACTTAATCACAACGTACACGTTAGTGCCATATTTAACATTTGAAGACGGTGCAGAAAACATAATGTCGGCGCTATGTTCAACGTGTGGCGCTATAATTGCATGGAGAGCCAAGAAAAGGGTGTTTGACAGGCAGTAAGGACATTTTTATTCCAGCCATAATAAAAGTACATCTTACTTTGGCGGGCGAGACAAATGTAAATGTAAAAGTATTGTTAGAGAGATTACGTCCAACCTACTGTATAACATTTTTTTTATTGTCACTTGCAGTCAACATGACCTTCTACTCTTTTTTATGCACTGTTTGCATGCAAGTGTTTACAGTATTTATTATATTTATTTCATGAGTACCTCACAGGACTAATTATCCACATCATCAAACTCCTTTTATCATCAATGCAACAATGAACTAAATAGACCCTATTTAATTAATTAATTTATTTGAATGTTTATTTAACAGGGTCAAAACATAACACATTACCACAGAAAATGGGAAAATGTGATGTACAGTATTTAGGGCGTCTAGCTTTGGCTAGTCTTTGTCCCTGGTTAGGATTTAGAAGGGAAGAACATGAAAAAGAAAATGTCCCCAGAATTGAATTAAATTGAATTTATATGGCTTAATCACGTGTTGTGGTGTACAAGATTCAATCACATCAATAGATATTTGTATCCTTTTCTGGATATAAAACCATACAAAAACCAACAGTACTGTGACTGAACTCCGTATGAATGAAAGTCTAAATGAATCCACATGTCGCTTCAAACAGTTTATGGTCTCAATTACCAGTTTGGATTCACAAATTATAATCCAATTGAAAGGAAAATAGATGATAAAGTGTGAGGCGACCATTTAACAGGAGATAAACAAAAATAAAACTGTGCTGCCACCATGACTTCCTCACACACGATTGTTTCTAATAATATCGCAGCAAGAGTCGGTGAGAGGCAGTTTCATGGCTTTGGACACAGATGTGAGCCACATGTAAAAAGAGTTTTCCTAAAACAAGTCCCGCCGAATACGGAAATTTGTGCTAAGGCGATGTCGCCAGGCAAAACTGGCTGCCTCCCAGACTCCTCTGGTGTTAGATCTGCTCCTCATAATAAATAATGACTAATCGGAGTCTAAGCGAAGAATTGGGAGAAACAAATCCAGGTCTTGCCCTCAGTAAAGGAGTTCCTTTATGCCTCGGTTATCTTCAGATACTTCAGATGATCGCTATGTTTTAGCTGGCCGCGGTTTTTACAAAGACCCATATCTGAAAGTGAGCCGTATGACTAATGAACAAAGGCTTCCTGTTTACCCTCCAGATGTGCTGTGACTTAGATTACGTTTATGATAACTATAATAACAGAATTGTTTCTCAAGAATGTGGCATCAGAGTCCAGATACAAAGACATCCATATGGAGGAGAGAGTCTCCACGTTTGCCTATTCTGGGCACAATCAGACCTTAGCCTGTGTTTAAAACAAACACTTGTTTGCAAAGGAAAGAAAAATAAATGTTGAGAAGAAACTGGGACAGAGTATGAGCTGCCTGGCAGGACAACAGTGAAGTGTCTGAAAGCTGCAGAGCGGAGAGTTATGGACACATAATAAGGCCATGCATGGCAGACAGGCACCCACAGTCCCCTGCAATCAGTCATAATACAAGAAAGAGGAAGTGGCAGGGTCTTGGTCCAGGTCCTGCAGAGCTCAGAGTGAGTGGAAGAAAGCTTTTAGAAACCCTAAAGCTCATCATACACAACCTAAAGTGGAGTGACAAAACCTGCTTGTTTTCAAGTTGTTGTGCAAGTCAGCAATTGCTCTTCTCTGGTGGCCGGCCGCACATGTGCAGTGGCCACGACAGCTGTGGGTGATCCACCAAATCCAACCCTGTGACAGCAGTGTACCGGTGGCTTTATATTTGGGATGATGGTCAGGGGGCAGCGAGTGCAAAATATAAAAAGGTAGAACAAATCAGGTGCTCACGATGGGCTTCACCATCACGGAGGAGGCTGCCTCTGGACTCTGACGTCACCACTGACCTTTGGTGTATTTACAGAGCAGGTTTGATTTCCACTACTTTTTTTCCCCTCGCTCACACACAAGCCGTTGTGAAGAGGGCTCTGCAGGTAAAAGAGTAGCTTTGTCCTGACCTGGACGGTGAGCGCTGGAGTCATGTGCTCCTGCCAATCCTGATGAGGAGCCCGCAAGTTGTGACCATTGAGGAGAACACAAGCATCACCTGTTTTATATTAAATCAGTCAGATTAAATAAGGAGGCCAGTGACCTGCAGCTCACGAGGTGCAATTTAAGTCAAATGCGACCCTGGGCCGCTCTGATCACACTTGTTAAAGTTGTTTTTAAACCAACTGCGGGGGTGAGGACCGACATATTTCTGTAATTACTTTTATGAACCTGCTGTAATAAAAATGTCAGCCCTCAGCTTTTCAGCAGCAAACTATGGTTCATCATTTTCAATGAAGTTATTTCTGAGTAAAAAAAAAATTTACATTACAAATGAGTCACTTAGTAACTGCACCAGTAAATGTGATTTATTTAGCATGAA